GGAACGCGGGCGCTGGCCTCGGGAGCCCCATGGGGCACACCTGGGGCCGACGTGAGTCGCGGGGCCAGATCAGGCGAAAGGGGATAGTGAAAGGGGATGAAGACAGGAAGGGGGAGAGAAACCGAGCTGATGAGGCGGGAAGGAGGTGGACCTGCATAGCTTCTCGGCTCGTGCTCTCCCGAGCCAGACATTCTCCGATCTAATCTTTCCGATCCGCGGCCCCCGGGGGCAGCGTGGCGTCTTGGGTCCATTTTTGAGGGTCTCCGGGCCCGATAGCGGGCCCCGGAGGCCCGAAAAAGGCGAGGAACCCTGCCAGGACTGAGCAGATCAGGTCGTCGGAGGTCTGGGGAGGAGTCCGTGCCCGCGCAGCCTTCCCCCCCGCCCTCCGCCCCACTGCAGGAGGAGGCGCACGCCCTGCTGCAGACTGCCCGGCAGGGCGGCGAGCAGGGAGGACCCCAAAGCGGAGGCGAGCTCGGGCTTCCTCGGAGGCCCGCGCGGACTGCTCGGGTCGGCGCTGGGCGCCCCCGGGGCGGCGCGGGTGCCCCCTGCCCTGGCCTCTCAGGAGGGCTGACAAAAGCAGCCCCCGGACCTCGACGTCTGAATTCCTGTCGAGGTGTAAATCTAGCCCGTCCAGATAGGTCTATAGAGGTCTGGAGGGCTATCTTTTGGCACTCTGGAAGGTCGGGGTCGGAGGAGGTCCACCCAGACGTGCCTGCGCCGTGGGAGCAGCGCGGCGGGAAGTCTTTGGCCGCTTCTTTCGGCCTCTGGGGGCCTTCGCTGGGCCCCGGGACCGTCAGCAGAAACAGTTGCTTCTGACGGGCCTGGAGGAATCCGGTGTGCAAAACTGGCCCCGGGGAGAGGGCAATGGGTCGGGCTCTCCGTAGGGCGACGAGATCTATACATATCCACTGCTCCTGGCCAGGCCCATCCTGGGCCCAGGAGCTGTGTATATGCCTCCCTGGCCAGGCCAGGAGGGCGTATACACCGCTCCTGGGCCCAGGATTGGCCTGGCCAGGAGCAGTGGATATGCATAGATCTCGTCGCCCTATCTCCGGAGGCCGCGTTCGGAGGAAGTTCAGGACATCGGACGTCTGGGCGGGGGCGGGTCGAGGGCGAAGGGCACGTCCGCAGGGGCGCGGCCTCGCGGGCCGGGCCCCTGGGCCGCGACCTCCGAGGAGGTCTACGGAGCTTTTTTTCGAGGGTGCCCCGCGCGGAGCGTGCCCGCGCGGCGTCGTCTCTGCGGGCTCGCTCTCCGAGATCCCAGCCGCGAGGGCGCGGAGACGGGTGTGTTCGCCGCTCGTGGGCGACGGCTCCGCCGCTGCTCGTGCCAGGGGAGGGTCGGGGCTCCTGGGGACCGCGCGTTGATGGAATCTGACTGTTCTCAGAGCTTGAATTACCTACCCCGCTTTCGCTTCCAGGCAAAACCAAGTCATACCATACGCCTCCTCGTCAAGCGGCCTGACCAGTACAGGCTGCAATTTGGCATCGTTTGGTATCTCTTGGAAGCGAGGGTGGTCAAAAGCGAGGTAGGTTTGTTTTCCCCCTATGTTCAGGGGGTCCCGTGAGCGGGGGTTCACGGCTTGCTGGGCTGAGGGGAAGGCTGGGGGTCGAGCAGCTCTAAGGGAGCAGCAGAAGCACGAACGGCCGGAGCCGCAGCTGTTGTCTACTCCGCTGTGGCCGGAGCCCCCCCAAACAAGACATGCGTAGCGGAGAGTCCAGGGCATCAGACGTTTGGAAGGAGTTGGAGGCTCCGGTGCCGCTGCTCGTCCTAGTATTATGTCGGGCGTGTCCCCCTATAAGGGGATTTTCGACGAAAAATAAAAGATACTCCAAAAATGCCCCAGAAAGGCCCAAAAATAGTCCAAAAATAGTCCCAAGACTATTTTTGGATTATGTTTTGAAGATTTGTTTTGGGTATTTTCAATTTTTCGCCGACTTAAAAGTAGTTCGGGGTCTGGGTTTCTCGAGGTTTTTCGTTGGCTTCGGGCTCTCGGGTCGCTTCGGGTCGCTCTCAGAGCCTTCGGGGCGCCTTGCAGCGGCAGCGACGCCTGCCGCATCCTCCAGAACCGGCGGATCTCAGAGGCGCCAGATGAGTCCTGGTCCGATTTCGTCCTGGCCCTGGCTTAGGATTCGCCTCGAAATCCTTTGGGCCAACGTCGGGTGAAACGTGCAGGTGCATCGACCCCCAATCGCCAATTGATCGCCAGAGGGACCTGATAGCCCGCCCCGCCCAAGAGCGTGCGGATTCGCTATCGGGGGCGTGTCGCCGATCTATCGGCGATGTATCTCTGATTTCAGCTCGGTGTTTCCCCCCCTGAGCTGGTTCCCCCTATCGTTCCCCCTTAACAAAGGGGGTTCACACGCGGGGCCGACCCCCAGAGGTTTCGACTCATTCCCCGGGACCGGCTTTTACATCCTGAGTCGTTTTGTGATGCGAAAGAGCGTGTTCTACCGCTGCTGGCGGAAAACCGGGGGGTCACCACCGGTTCGACCCCCCCCCCATCTCTGGAAAACTGGGGGGGTTCACTACCGGTTCGAACCCCCGCTCCCCTCCCCCCCCCAGTCCATCATGAAAAGGAGGGGGGGTCACTACTGGTTCGACCCCGGGCCCCCCCCTCTAAAACCGGGGGGGGTCCCTACCGGTTCGAACCCCCTCCCCCCCCCCCTCGAAAACCGGGGGGGGTGCGGACTGGTGGGGACGGTGGTGGTGGGGACATTGGAGAGGGGACAGCGGGACAGTGGTGGGGACAGTAGGACAGTGGTGGGGACGGTAGTGGTGGGGACACTGGTGAAGGCGGTGGTGAGGACAGTGGTGGGACAGTAGCACAGTGGGGACAGTGGTGGGGACAGTGGGGACAGAGGGACAGTGAGGGGACAGTGGGGACGCTGAAACAGCACAGTGGGACAGCGGCGGGGACAGTGGGACAGTAGTGGGGACAGTGGGACAGTGGTGGGGACCGTGGGGAAAGTGGGGAGAGTGGGACCGTGGTGGGACACTGGTGGGGAGAGTGTTGACATTGACACACTGGTGGGGGCACTGGTGGGGGCACTGGTGGGGACAGCGGGGACAATGGTGGGAACACTGGAGACAGTGGGAAAGTGGTGGGGACGGTGGTGGTGGGGACAGTGGTGTGGGGACAGTAGGAATGTGGTGGAAACAGTGGGACAGTGGAGGTGCAGTGGTGGTGGGGACAGTGGTGAGGGCGGTGGCGAGGACGGCGGTGGGACAATGGGACAGAGGTACAGTGGGGACAGTGGTGGGGACAGTGGGGACAGTGGTGGGAACAGTGGGACAGCTCAGTGGGACAGCGGAGGAGTCAGTGGGACAGTGGGGACAGTGGGGACAGTCGGGCAGTGGTTGGGGCCGTGGAGAAAGTGGGGAGAGTGGAACCGTGGTGGGAACAGTGGTGGGGACAGTGGGGACAGTGCGACAGTGGTGGGGGCACTGGTGGGGACAGTAGGGACGGTGGTGGAACCAGTGGGGACAGTGGTGGTGAGGACAGTGGTGCTGGGAACAGCAGTGGGGGATGTGGCGCGGACGGTGGTAGGGACCGGGAGTCGTTTGCTGGCGGTGAGGGGAGGGGGTTCGAACCGGTAGTGACCCCCCCCGGTTTTCGAGGGGGAAGGGGGGGGGAGGGGTTCGAGCCGGAGTGACCCCCCCGGTTTTCGAGTTTTCGAGGTGCGGGGGGGGGGTTAGAACCGGTAGTGTGAAGGGGGGGGGGTCGAACCGGTAGTGACCCCCCCCGTTTTCGAATTTTCGAGGGGGGGGGGGGCGGGGAGGGGTTCGAACCGGTACTGTCAGGGGGGGGGGGTTAGTGACCCCCCCGGTTTTCCGGAGAGGGGGGTGGATTAGGGGAGGAGGGGGGGTTTTGCCGGGGGAAGGGGGGGGGATTCCAGCAGCAGAGGGGGGGATTTTCGGAGCGGGGGGGGAACCCCGGGTTCCAGAGGAAGAGGGGGGGAATTTTCCACAGTGAAGCGGCGGCGGATCACGCTCTCTCCCTGATGCCGAACATGTGAAGCGCACCGCAGCCCCGATCTTCTCGGTGCGTTGGAGGCCTGGGCAGCAGGAGGGGTTCCAGACGCGGCGCCCCGCATCTCCCAGCTCACCCGCGGGGGGTGCGGGAGAGAGCGCCGCGCGCCTCGCGCTCTGCGGCCTGGGCCGGCGGGCCGCCCTTGCCCAGGACAAGGGGCGCAGGAGCGCGAAGGCTCAGGGGAGCTGAAGCTTCGAGCTTCGAGCTTCGACGCTCGACTTTTTCGGGCGTGTTCGCTCGATGTCGGCGGCTTTTCCGCATCGGGGCGCTCTCCAGCGGCTGCGCCTTGCCGAGAGCGTTCCGTGGGTGGCGGGATCGTCTCGAACTGCCGCCGGAGGCCCGAGTAATGAATGACCCGAAAGCTGGGGGGCAACTCTAGGGGGGGAATTAGGCTCATGGGAGGAGGTAGTGATCCCCAATGCTCCACTCCTCGACGATAGGGACCCGATGGCCCACCCCGCGTGCCTATCGCCGATCTCTCATCGATGTATCACCTGTTCCAGGTCGATGCCTCCCCTCCACGAACCGGCTCCCCCTACCCTGTCCCCTCAACTCCTGCGATCTTGGCGTCGGATGGATTCTTTCTGCTCTGGGCGTGTTCGCCCGGATTTCGGGCCCCAGGGCCCTGGTGGGGTCCATCCGTTTCGAGAAGTGCTGCAGAAGCCAGGGGTCCGGATGGAGCCCAGGGCGCTGTTCGTTCCTGGCGCGATCCTGCAGTCCTTTTGCATGCCGTTGGGCCTCGGGGCTCGGGCGAGGTGCCCCCGCTCCCCGCCCTGGCGCGCTCTGCGCGGGAGGGCGGCGTGGGCCGCGCGGGCCAGCGCAGGGGACCCATTACCAGCTTGAAGCATATCCCTGTCCCTGTGTTTGGCAGCACCTCACATCGATGCTGATCTTAAGGATATCCTCAGTTTCTGAGGGCACATTCCTAAGATTGTCTTCGGTTTTTGCTTACCCATCTTGGGGATAGGGATGAGGTCGAGGCTGGTTAACCCAGACCCCCGAAATGTCCGTGCGCTCCTCCGCGGAGGCCTGCGGGCTCTCTGGGCGGGCTGTGCCGTCTGCCGCCGGGGCCACCCCGAGCCAGTTAGTCCCGGGGCCGAAGACCTCGCTGGGCCTATATGGGGGCCTCGCTGGGCCTCGGGGCTGAAGGCCTCGCTGGGCCTCTGGGGCCCTCGCTGGGCCTCGGGGCCGTCAAGCAAGCTGCTGAGGAGGACGAAAAGAACCGGCCGCGGGGAAAAGTTCTCGGGGCTGCTGGGGGACACCGCCCCGAAAAATTCAGCGATCGCACGTCTAGGGGCTTCTCTTGGTAGGGATCTTGCCCAGAGCTGGCCCCCCCGACCTTCCAGAGAGCCGAACAGCTCTTCAGGCCTACAGGCCTTCCTGGACTGCTTGAGACCTCTCGACGGGAATTGAAACGCCGAGGTCCTGGTGCTTCAAGCAGTGACCAAGCGTCCTGGCTCGCCTATAGCCCTACCAAACAATGTTCTAAGAACCTTTTGTGGTTTTCACGAACTGTTCTTCGAACATTCTTGGGTTCTAGGAAAATTTTGTGGTATGGCTATAGAAATGCCGGGACGGTCGGTCCCTCTCAAGTGCTGTGGTGCTGTTTTTTTAGGCCGCCCTCGATGGCCTCTCTTGGGCCCCTGCTGGCTCCCAAAGGGGCCCTGCCCTAAAGGGCCCTGTTGGGGCCCTTCTCCCCTGACCTTCCAGGAGGGCAGAAAAAACAGCACCAGGACCTCGATATCTTAATTCCTGTCGAGGTTTTGGGCAGCGCAGATAGGTGTATAGGTCTGGAGGGCTATTTTCTCGTACTCTGGAAGGTCAGGGTCGTCACCCCTCGATCACCACCCGCCCAGGCAGAGCCAGGGGTGCACATCGACCAGGGTCGGCGTGCGGGATCCCGCAGGACCTAGCGGGATCCCGCAAATAGCCTGGTTGGCCCGGGCTCGGATCGACTCGGGTCAGGAGATCCCCGATGGTTGCTATGTCTGATGTTCACAGTGTCGGGCCACCTGGTCTGGGCATGCCATGTGGGCATCCGGGCGCATCCAGTACTTTTCCTCCTCCCTCTCTTCCTCCTCCCGTCCTCTCCCTTTTTTCCAGCCTGTCCGTGCCTAGTGGAGGCCCCTTCCCATCAGTTTTGAAGCTGGCAGTTTTCATCACCGCGGTCGTCTCCGACGAAAAACAACCCGTACTCCGTAGAACAAGCAAATGTTTTGGGGAGCCGGGCGCCCATCTTAGGCCATCACGGGGCCTCGGGCATTATTGGGCCTCTGGGGCCCCCTCTGGGCCGTCGTCGGCAATCTTGGGGCTATCTTGAGGACCTTGGAGGCCCGTTTTGAGGGCGTCTTGGAGCCATCAGGGGCCCTTGTTGGGCCATCCTGGAGACCATTTCTTTATTGCTTGGGGCATGCTGGGCGTCATGGCCCCCGCCCCCCCCCCCCCTATGACGTAACGCTCCCACCCCCAGTGCGCTCCGGGCACTGCCGCCGTGCGTATTGGGATCCGCGTGGGTGTCCGCGTAGGAATCCGCATAGGAGTCTGCTCCGCAGTCGTCGTCGTCGACTTCGTCGTCGTCGTCGTCGTCGTCGTCGTCGTCGTCGTCGTCGTCGTCGTCGTCGCTCGTGGCTCGTGGCTCGTGGCTCGTCGCTCGTCGCTCATCGTCGTCGTGCGCGCGGACCTGGCTGGAGCCTTTTTTGTGTTTTCTCATTCCGGGCAGATGACAGCAATCATCTGGGGGGGTGGAGGGGGTCGATGGCGTCACGCTTCGCGCCGACGGCGCCTGGGAATGCTTAGGAGTGACGGAGGACGGGTGGCACCAGCATGTAGGTGGCGATCTGCACCACAACGCCTGTGTACACCTCAGTGCCTGCGTGCACCACAGCGCCTGTGTACACCACGCCGCCTATGTACACCACAGCAGCCGCGTGCAACACAGCGTCAGTTTATGCCACCGCGCGCGGGCACAACAGCTCTTGTGTACACCACAGCGCCTGCGTACACCACATCAGCCGTGTGCAACACAGCAGTGTACTCACCACCCACCAAACCACCCCAACCCAACCCTAAGGCCCAGATTTACCCTCGATTTCCAGTGGGGGGGGTCGGGAAACGTCGAAGAAACACATGTGGAACCCTTACCCCCCCCAACCCGAAATTCGGGTCTTCGGGTTGGGTTGGGGTGGTCTGGTAGGTAGTCATGTACACCACAATGCCTGCGTGCATTGCAGTGCCTGTGTGCACCACGGCGCTTGTGTGCACCACAGCAACCGTGTGCAACACAGCACCACTGTTGTGTGTAGAGTGTTCGGAGGAATCATTATGACAAAATGGAGCGTATGTGGATTCCACCGAAAACGCCATACAATAATCTTGATTGACAAGGGAGCGCCAGGGGAATCTACGAGTCCTTCCGAGTTCGCCCGCATCACCGTAACTCCTCCCATCTGCGTCCAGGAGGCTCCAGCTAAATTGGCCGTCTGAGAACCAAGTGGGCCGATTCAATAGACCATTCCGCGGTGCACGCTGAGTTGCGCACGTGCGCTTTAGCACCAACCCGCGCGACAGGGGGTAAGGAGGAGGAGAAAGAAGAGGAGGACGAAGAGAAAAAGGAGGAGGAGGAGGAGGAGGAAGAGGAGGAGGAGGAGGAGGAGGAGGAGGAGGAGGTGGAAGTGGAGGAGAAGGGAAGAGGTAAACACGTCGCATCGATTATCAGCAATTTCCCGGCGTGGCGCTTTCAGCGGCGCCGTAACGGGTACTCACTAACGGGTACTTTTGAAAATTGCCGAACGTTGCTTTTTTCGGGCATCTTTGTGGGAATGCAGCGTTGCCCGCATCGGGGAGGGTTCGGTTCGCTGGGTCACTGGCCAAAGTACCCGTTAGTGGAGTCCCCGTTAGAGGGGCAATGACGCTTCCGTAGCAGATCCTCACGTACACGCTCCTTCTACCTGTTCTATGCACGCAGGCGTTGTGGTGTACAGTAGCGCTGCGTTGCACGCGGGTGCTGTGGTGTAGACAGGCGCTGTGGCGTGCACAGGCGCCGCGGTGCACCCAAGCACCGTGGTGTACACGTGCGCTGTGTTGCACATGGTTGCCTCTGGTGTGCACACGCACACCGGCGCTGTAGTGTACGCAAGCACTGCAGAGTACACAGGCGCTGCGTTGCACACGGTTGTTGCGATGTACGCAGGCGGTGTGGTGTACACGCGCGCTGTGGTGCACGCGAGCGTTGTGGTGTACACAGGCGTAGGGGGGCAGATCGCCACCTACATGCTGCTCGCGTCGCCGTCGTCGTCGTCGTCGCTTGTCGCTTGTCGCGTCGTTCGCGCGGGCGCGGCTGCGGTGCAGGAGCCACACGGCGGGGGGGGGGGCGTTACGTCATACCCCCTCCCCTGCCCCCCCCCCCCATGACGCATGTCATCGCCGAACATCAAGAAACGCTCTCCTGGGTAGTTCTGGTTGCAGCTTGGGCCTTGTGGTGTCACCTCGGAGCCGTCTTGGTCAATCTCGGGGTCTGGGGGCCGTCTTGAAGCGATCTTTAGACATCTTGCGAGCAAAATGTGGGACTGACAAAAAGCATTGAAACTACGCGCGACGGTGCTTCAATTTATCCGTAAGGGCTTCGCCCCATGCCGCTGGCCCCCTGTCTCGGATAATGGGAGATGCAAAAGCCAAATCAGAAGGCCCGGGCGCCGCCGTGAAGCAGTGTCGGGACCTGTTTGTTTTTCGACCCTGACCCTACGGATCTGCATGAGGAGTGCCACCGAATTTCAGACATGTTGCAAATCCCATGTGTTTTTGGACCTGACCCTACGGACCTGCGTGAGGGGTGCCGCCGAATTTCAGAATGTTGCAAATCCCGCGTGTTTTTGGACCCTGACCCTGTTGATCCGCGTGAGGGGTGCTACCGAATTTCAGAAATGTTGAGAACCCCTTGGGTTCTCGGTCCCTGACCCTGCCGATCTGCGTGAGGGGTGCCGGTGGATTTTAGAAGTGTGGCGAATCCTATATGTTTTTTCACCCTGACCCCGCCGATCTGCGTGGGGGGTGCCAGCGAATTTCGGGAATGTGGCAAATCCCTCGTGTTTTTGGACCCTGACCTCGCCGATCTGCGTGAGGGGTGCCAGCAGATTTCAGAAATGTGGCAAATCCCATTTGTTTTTGGACCCTGACCCCGCCAATCTGCATGAGTGGTGCCAGCGAATTTCCGAAATGTGGCAAATCTTTTGTGTTTTTTTGGACCCTGACCCCGCCGATCTGCGTGAGGGGTGTAAATTTTTACCCACCCCAGCAATTCAGAGCACACGCTCAGGGCGTGCTACACCTGCCCGTTTGGGCCACCCCCCCATCGCGCGGTCCATCAATAAGGACCAGTAAGCAGCAAGAAGCAGAACTGTAACAGTGGAAACTGGAAGCTGCAACTGGTACAGGAAACTGCGAACCTTCGCCCTACAGCCTGGTGGCCCCACAAGGGGCTGGCGGATTGTCCAATGTCGTCTGCCCTCTCGGGCCTTTTGAGCTGCTCTTGGAGGCATCTTGGGGCCATCTTTGCCCGCCTTGGACTCTTGAAGCTCTCTTCGAGGCCTGAATCCTGGCGGCCCGGGCCCCTTAGGCCCCAGTAGACAGTAACACGGAGACAGGACTGGATAGACAAGCGATAAGGCAACGCAAAGACCACACGCGCCAGCAGCCCAGCCTGGCGCCCTTCGGCGGTGCCTGCGGACAGCTTTGTGGTCTCCCGGAGCGAGCGGCGGCCAAGTCGGAAGGGTCAGACGGGTTGTGCATGGAAGAGCTTTGCGACACGGTGACGGCCCCGGCGAGCAACCCCGACTGCGGCAAGTCTTTCTGCAGCGCATGCCCAATCTGTAGCGAGTCTATCGGCGAGGCTGGGCAGACGCTGGGCCCAGACGGGCAGCCGGACGGAAAGATGTGCATCCGCGTAGTGTGCGACCAGGTGGGGGACCCGTGCAGCGACCCATCGGTCGCGGCGTCCTGCAGCGGCTGCGCCGAGTGCAAGTGACGTGGCGCACTGAGCCCCGGGTGCTCCAGGCCCCAGACCACCAACGGTAACGCCCCCTTGTCCACCTCCGTGAAGGCATAGCGCCTGCCCACCCCCGCGTGGGGGCGCGGCCAGAGGGCAGTCCCCGCCTGCGGCGGTGCGCGAGCGCCGTTCTCTGTAGGGCCCGTCGGGGACGGACGCCCTCCTCCTCCTCCTC